GAAACGGGAGAGGGTAAAGAAGATGAAGAAGAAGAAGAAGACAAGAAAGAATTGCTTACAATTACAATATTTGGGCATCAACAACAATCTTTTCAGATGAATGCTGTACAACGTCAAAAAGCAGACAGATGAACAAATACTAGTTTTAGTAGATTCCGGTAAACAGGAGTCAAAAAGAAAAAAAAAAAGGGAAAAGTAGAGTAGACCAATTTTTTGTACAGTGCTTAAGTAATGCAACTTTTTTTTTCTTTTCTTGTTGCTTAAGTTAAACTAGCAAAAAAGTTATGAACAATATTTGCAAACTGCATGATCCAACAACAATTTACTTTTTGCACTAAGCTTTTTTGCATACATTAAAACTTCTTCTTTTTTTTTGGCATTTATCAAACTATTGAAAAGCTCTTTTCGCCAAAAAAGAGTAAAAAAAATAAATTAAAGCAAATCAACAAATATATATTCGATCATTTCTGTTCAATTTCTTATTGTTATTATCATTATTATTATATCACTATCACTATTATTAGTTCCTGCATTTTATTATCTATCTTTCCAGCTATTTTTTTTTTCACTTGTTTGCTTGTTCTTCGTTCCTTCCTTTTCAAAACCAAAAATTATAGTAACTTGTTAAAAAAAAAAAAGTAGTTAGAAAAAACAGAATTTTTTTTTCCCATTTTCTTTTACATAAATCAAGAAACTGTTAAGGTGAAGTAATTGTTGGTAAAGACAAAAAAAAAAAAGCATTATTTTTAATGATTTATTACTGTTGCAGTAATATATCTAACAGTTTTTAGTGCAGATTTACAGCATACTTAACTGCTTTAACATTTAACTATCATATACCCTGTTCTTCAGCCTATCCTCATAACTTCAGAAAAAAAAAAAAGACTAACGATAATCTGTTTCTTATATGTTTTTTTTTTCTAACTTTTTTTTTTTTGTTGCTATTTCTATTCTGTTTTATCAAAACTGTAGATAAAAAACAAGTTTAAAGAAATTGAATTATTCCATTATTAAGCCGTAAATCAACACAGACAACACTGATAAACAAATACCCAGTTTTAACGTTCCTCTTTTACAGATGCTCTTCTAAAAGTCAAAAATTTTGCTCTTTGAAAAGAACTGACTGGTAAGAAAAAAAAAATTCTAGAAGATTAACTGTATCACATAACTGTTCAACATTCCTTCATTTTTCAAAAATACTAAGTTGCGAGTCAAAAAAGAAAATAAGAAATTATCAGATTCTGTAACGTTAGATATCAACGTCTGCTTACTTCTTTGCCTATTCCTCATATCTCCGGTAATTTGAGCCCACAAAAATCGTTCATTACTCAGAGCAGCAGCGAAAAAACATAGAAACACAGAAACAGCAATCAGTATGTGAATCACTAAGTTTTCACGAATTGACTTCCTAAAATTTTTGAACAACCACTATTGAGGCGAAAAATTTATTAGTTGCTATCATTTTTTAAGACCAAAATAGCTGAACTAATTGTTCTACGTAACTGGTCCTTTTGTTTTTGTTTTTTTTGCTTCTCACTTTTCTGTTAAAATTTGAATCGTTTGGTGAACTCTATAAACAGGATCAACTTAAAATTCGTCATTTGGATGAGGAAACTTTATCTCATTTATTATATGTATAGGACTTATGTGGCTAGAGAAATGTTTGCAGATGCGGCAAATTCTTGTCGACATTTACAAAAAAATATTAAATGCTCCTTCCTTGCAGACGCCTACTGTTCTATTTTGTCAATGTTCGCCATTTTGCATTAGTTTTGCGACAAAATGTTACATATAACATACAATTTTAAGCAAGATCTATTCAGAAAACTAAAATGATTTAGGTTAACAGAAGGGGGAAAAAAAAATAACGATAACAGCAGCAACAGCAGCACCAGAATCGTCATCTTCATCAGCATCGTCAACAAACCCTTCAGACAACTCACCATCCACCGACCAAAAATCCAATAGATAAACAAGCAGAAAAAAAAAAAGAAAAACTAAAAAGAATACAAAAAAAGCAAAACGAAATTGTAACCAAATAAGATAAAAAAGATGGATTTTGAACAGAAGAGGAAAAAATTCAATACGACAAACAAAATATTACCACAGTCTTTGCAACGAAAAAAAAAAACCTACTTAATTTTGGGAAATAAAATTCTTGCAACAATTTATCTTCTAAACAGCACTAAAAAGGATGAACTGATTGCCAGTTTCTATGCACTTCTTCCTCTTTTCCTGTTGTTTCTTCTTGTTGCTTTTACTCTTTTAATTGACATTTAACGAGTAACAAAAAAAAAAAGAAAAATTGAAAATTCAGAGAAGATTGTTTAGATTACACTGCTATTTTGTTTACAATAAATAAAAATTTTTGCTCATATAAATTGAACAGATATATGCTCAATTAATCTTCGATCACCTGTTCCTTCCTTCTCTTCTCTTTTTTTTTTCTTTGCTAAGATATATAAACAAAATAAGTGTTGAAAACTGTAAAATTAATCACTTGTGATAATTAAAAAAAAAAAGCAAAAAATATACTCTTTTTCAACAGATTATTTTTACCACTTATTACTGATAGACAAAAAGATTTGTAACGATCAGCAGGCAAAAACAGATTGAATTTAACAATTATTTTTGGCTGTCAGTATACCAAACAAACTGTTCATAAGTTATACTGTTTTCTGAAGAGAGAGAGAGAGCGAACAGAGGAGAAAAAAAAAAGAGAAAGAATTTCTAAACAAAGCTTAGTTTAAAGATACTAAATATCCCCAAAGATAGTACTGTCAAACTAAGACTATATTTTTTGCAGAAGTTATACAAAACAAAAAAAGCAATGTAATATTAACCACAATTTTAAAAATATCGACAACTATGAATGCTGAAACGTTTTGAAACATTCATTGCTAATTGTCAATTAAATGATCAAAGATCAATTTTTGTCGATCAACTTTTTAGTGAAAAAAAAAAAAA